TCTTAATTGAATATCAATATGAAGGAATGGATTTATAAAGTGCAAATCGATTTACTTTCATATAGTTAAAACATGGTTGGATTCATATACGCAGCTGCCATCTTATATCATAACGTTGCTTCAAATCTAGACAAGGGGGCTAAATTTGCTCGTTGTACCTTCCTAGACTATACATCTGATTTTGACTCGGTCCCTAGGGACATTTGGTTAAACAAGCTTGCTGAAACTCAAACTGACTGTTGGGTTATCAAATGGCTGCATTCTTATTTCTCAGAAAGAAAACAGTACACCGTGTATAAAGGAAGTCTTCCACTTCATTGCCTACTGAAACTGGTGTCCCTCAAGGCGCTGTCCTTTCTCCTTTTCTTTTTTCTTTCTTCTTGCATGAATTGCCTCACTCTGATGAAATTACCTTTGTGAAGTACGCTGATGATTTAACAGTTTCAATGGCTGTTAACTCCCAGCTAGATTGTACCAAAACACAAAGCTTTCTATCGGAGTCAGTAAATGGTCTGAGTCTAACGGTCTTAAACTGAATCCTTCTAAGTGTCAAACTGTTCATTTCAGCTTTCAGAGATGTAAACGAAAGTTAAAAGAAGTTATCGATTCCCATGACAGTTGTAGGATTGACGACAATGATATAGGAATCAAATCAGAAATTACGTATTTTGGACTCATTCTCTCTTCTGATCTCTCCTGGACTTCCCATGTCTTGGCGACCTCCAGTAAAATATTCCGTCTGACATTAACATTACATTAAGAAGTGAAGACACTCGGGTATAACTCAGCCCCTCCTCCTCTTACAGTTCATAAACTGTTGCATCCTACTACCTATTCTTCTTTATTGTTCACCCTGCTTATTCTTTCCTGGTTTGCTTGAAAAGGACTATGTTACAATTCGCAGAATGCTGAAGACTGTCAGTAGGGTGAGTGGTGTCCCAGTGGACCACATAGTTAATGTTGTTATCGATAGGCACTCGACTTCGTGCAATAAATTTGCTAGAGGGATTTTGTCTGACTTGGAGCATCCGCTTTACCCTCAGCTATCACCTTCCATCTCCTCACGTTCAGCAAGAAGTCTAAGTATAGAAATTCTAACATACCATACTTGTAAAGTATTCTGTATGATGAAAATGGTGTCAGGCAACAATTAACTAACTTTTTTTCATCTAGTAAATAAACAATTTCCTCCATCCATCCATCCTTGTATACCTTCAAGTTTTACTTTTATCGTATATATATATATAGATGTGTCCTCTGAGCTGGAATTAAAATCTCAAGCATAGAGAAAATCAACTCACACAAAATGAAATACTGAATTACAACAGCAACAATCCAATAACACAAATAAAAGGAATTGTATACAAACACTATTCATGAGAGCCAGTCAGCCAGGACTCATTGCAGCACTTCTATCTTAAGAAAAACTGAAGATGCATATCTCATGAACATCTTCCAAGAGAATGGATAGATATCCATGGAATTTCATTAGAAGACATATACCCCGAAGGAAAACACAAAGAAAATCGCTTTACAATATATAAAAGACAACATCTCAGAAATCACTGCACGACTCTTCAAACTTTTCTTTCGGAATAGATGTCGCACACAAATTAACAAAATCATTTCACTCAGCCAGCCAGCTCTGTGTCAACCAAAAGACTGGACAGCAAAGGAAGATAAAACCAACATCATCTACAAAACAAACTGTAACAAATGCGAATAACACTACATTGGCCAAAGTGGGCGCCTCTCCTCTTCGTCTTCGTATCCATGAACATCAGCTAGCCGTCAAAAGAAATGATGATATCCACTACCTCATATCACTACATACAGACAACCACGGACATCAATTCAGCTGGGACAATGTTCAAATATTAGACAGAGGAAACAACAAGAATGCTAGAGAATTTTCAGAAGCCTGCTTGGCATTCTAGTGAACCGTCAATCAACAGACACATAGAGATAGACAAAATTTATCAACCGATAAGAATGGAACCTTACACACAGAGGGTTAAACTTCAAGCCAAAGAAACAATCATTTCCAATACAAGTAGCCTGGAATGTGTGGAAACACAAAATAACAACTAATCACGAGATTTAAGGTCACTCACTAGGAGAGGTGACTAATAAACTCGTGGAGAAATCTAAAAGCTCACTTCAACAGCTTTAAGTATTCGCTGAAGATGTTGTCTAGTAGAAGGCAATGAAAGCTTCTTAAATACACTGTCCATCTACGAGAACACAACCACTTCAATATAGTCCACTTGAGCTACAAATCTTCTCCATCACATCTATGAATAAATGCAGTCTTCTTCAGATGGCTCTACGCTTGCTCATAAGTTCTCATCTCTTCACACAATCTGCACCATCCTTAACATCACCACCAAGTGAGTGCTTCAATAATCTGGGAAAGACCAGTTGCCAATCCTGGACACTTCAAACTTCGTATATCAATTCAAGTGTGTTTTTAGAAGCAAATACACAGGTCGTACAGAAAAACGATTGTATACTCACATGATGGAGCATTTGCCAATGGTGGTTGATGAAAACAGATGAGGTCAAAGTGCTTAAAAGTTCAATAACAAATCATCTTGTGGACTGCGAATATGATATTCACTCTTTCAAGTCATTCATAGTGTTGTCAGCGAGTAGACAAACAACCAGGAAGAGGCTTGCAATTAGGGAGGAGGCTTGTGGAATTACAGTTTGTTAAGCCGGATCTCTGTGCACAAATGGAGATGGTCGTCACTCTGAATCTATCATGGTAATATGTTTTACTTAATAACTGTTATTAATATTATTGACACTTTACTCTACCTCTTATTATTATTCTTGATTCATTTAAAACTATCTTTTATCAATAGTATTATCTTAACCAGTTGCAACATTTAATTGAATTTTAGATTTTCCCGTCGATTGATTGAACCCCAAAGTGCTCGGTCTCAGGTTGACGTGTCGGTTTCTTGTGCAGATGCTTCGATGATGTCTGGGCATGTAATCAGAAGTTAATTGGTGGATGGTGACTAGAACTTGGATCCAGGATAACGCGCATTTCCTCCTATTTGGGACTCGTCAGCCAGCTGGATGTACCTACCTGCATTCCGTAGTAAGTGATGGCGTTCCCACTGAGGCAGGTACATTCAAGCTGACTGACAAGTCCCAAATAGGAAGAAATTCGTGTTATCCTGGATTCCACTTCTAGTCACTATCCATTGTTTCAACATTATTATTATTATTATCTTTACTATTATTAGCGTTACCGTTGTAACAGCAGACGGTAAGATACAGAAGCCACTAATCAAATGGCTTTTTATATACACATAACTAATCACTGAACGTGTGATTTTAGTTTACATTAAAAGACATGAATTAGAATGTTCAGACATAAATAGTGTATACTGTTGCTGATGCGGTACTGAACTATGGAAATTTTGTGAGAATGCTATTCTGTTGGAACACATTGTCTGCATTACACCAGCACCACACCATTATTATCGATATTATTTAGTTCTAAATTCTTGGTACTCTCAACTTCTTTTGCCGACTGGAAACTAACTAATTGTTTATTGAATTGATGTAATTTAGTCGTAATGCATTTTATGGGTGATTTTATATTAACTTTTGCTGTTTGATTACTAAACAGTGATCCGTTTTAAGAAGTTGGGTGTTATTCTTCATTACCATTAATTAGATGGTTGAAGGCAATCGATAGGAAATCTTGCTAGTCGGCACTCACTCGGCAGTTAGCAAGGCGTAGGTGCAACATTGAAGAAACAACTCATGTCTCTTTTGAAATTCGAACCCGTGTCACCCAGTGAGTCCTGCAGTCAGGGACCTCACCACCACCACCACCACCACTGGGGAGTTCCGCCTCATAACTGACCTCCTGTAGGACTGAATAGACACACTACACTAGTTACTGACTACTACTGTCCAATAACAAATATCCAATATAGTCCTACAGAAGGTAAATCGCGAGCTTGAATATCTCAGTGGTGGTGACGTCTTCTGTGACTGCAGTACTCAGCAGGTGACGCAGGCTCGAATCTCAGAAGGGACATGAGTTCCTTCAAGGCTACAGATACGCTTTTCTGCCGATTGCCTCCAACCATTTAATACCAAAGATTCACAGTGCAATGTGATGGTAATCCACTTAGTGGCATAGAGTGGCGACATTACAAACTTGACTGATGACAGAATTTAATCTGCACCACAGATAGGACTAGTCACATTACGCTAGTTACTGGGTTTAGTTATATTTTGTATACTGATATTAACCATGTTTTCAATTATATGCCCAAATGACAAGAACCAACAATATTTGAAATTCAAGTGTTGATTTGTAGGGATTTGCTTGGTTACAGGATTTCATCATGAGCTGATATCAGCTAGAGAACCATCAGAAAACCTTGGAGTACTGAACAGCTGTTTCGTCCTAGTTTGGGAGTCTTCATGAGTACACACTCACCGACAGGGTTAGAACCCAGGATCTTCTGGTTACAACGGGAGCGAGCTCGTATACCATTAAGGACTCTGGGTCCAATGGCCCATGAATTCTAACTTCTGCCAATTCATGACATAGTGCGGCTCCTAGCCAATATCTTCGGCGAGTATTTGTCCTCACACGCGATCTGCTACACCCCAAATACTCGCCGAAGACATTGGTTAGGGGCCGCGCTATATCGTGAATTGGCAGAAGTTAGAATTCATGGGCTGGTAAATGGATCGGTGGGTCCAAGTGGCTGAGAATGGTCTACGAGCTCACTCGCCTTGTAACCAAAAGGTCCTGGGTTCGAACCCCGGCTGGTGCGTACTGCGGAAGGGTCCTAAACTAGGACGACGGTCTTCTAATCAATGTCAGCTGATGATGAAATCCAATATATAAAATTGGTGATCTCATTTTGTTCTGCTGACTGTACCGATCTTCCGTTGTTCAGATCAATCAAGGGGTTGAAATAAAGTCGTTATTAAAAAGTCTTTAGCCTGAAAAACAAATTCAATACTTTAATTATATATTTTGCTCTTAATCATTTGAATATTACAAAATCATCATACATGTATATTGTTTTTTTCCTCAAACAACAGTTTCATTTACAACTTTTGTTTTTATTTGATCCATACACCTGCTCCCGCTCACCGCTCACCAAACCCCACCCCACACTCTGTCACTATTCAAACAATATCCGGGATTCTATACACCAAAAATATTCGATCATCTTTAATGAAGCAAAAATTATAACCGGTTTCATGACAATAATGCGAAAAATATCGACCATAGACAATGATCACATTCCATAACTTGCCGTAGTATTTATCCAACTGCTTTTTTAAATATTCCGCTAATTTCTAATATCAAAAAAAAAGAAAAGAAAATTGAAAATAAAGTAAATAAGTGTAGTATTGAATGGTTAAATAAAAAATGCCTTGGAATTCACTTTTTTTTTTAACAAGGCTCAAGGTGAAGTCTCTGTGTGTGAAAACTGAAAAGTTTTACCACGCATTGAAAGCGGTTAGAGAATTAATCCAATCCATCCGGAAAGTAATGGACAGCTGTCTAGTTCTAGCTTTTGAACTACTCAGCAGTACGAGAACATGATGTGACTGGGGCGGGGTTCGAGCCCACGCCGACGCACACCTGATATCTATGATCGGCCTGCGAATTTTGGGCTACCGATATCCATGCTGAAAATTCCACACTTGTACCAAAATTACGGTGTGGAATCAAGCTGTAATCAAAAATAAATAAAAAAAATAATATGCCTTTGTTCAAAGTAGTTGACATTTTGTGTGATTACATTTCCACAAACAATTTTTACATCCCCTTCACTATATCTTGTTTAAGGGATTTATTACTTCTATTTTACTAACAATGTTAGGTTTACATTTAAATGTTCATGTGAAGATAGCTACTTAAATAGAACGAGTCTACAAGCCCACTATCGCATTCTGGAGCATTGTTTTTTTACCGTGGTTAGGTAGAAGGGTTGTAAAGTCAATCACAAGTTCCATACTGGTACGTCTATTGGATATAGAGGACAAGACTGACAGAAATTGAGGTTTCAAAATTCTATACAAGGTGAGCCACTTCAACTCCCTAGTTTGGTACGTCTTCGATTACAAGGCCTAATTGAGGCAGTCTTCATAACAACTTTTAAATCCAATCTTTGTGTTTATAAAATGTTTTCTTCAATCCCTTTCCCTCCCTTTTGCCTTTGCCCTCACCCTAGAATAGTTATCTCTCCCCCGGTGACACCAGATAATTGTATATATTACCTTATTATGCTAACTGTATTCTCAATATCATGCAGTGCTGTGGTTGCATATTTTATTCTTGGTTTCGCAATCAAATCGCTGTGACAGTAGTTATTTTTCCTTATGCCCCTACTAGTATGCACATTCTACCCATACACTCACTGTTACTTAGATTATATAAACACTTGGATGAATTTATCCTTATTGTTATTACCATCATTGTGATCACCTCTAGTGTAATCGATTACTTCGTATCCCTGAACTCTGATCCTTTTTTTTTTTTGATTTACAGCTTGATTCCACACCGTATTTTCGGTACAAGTATGGAATTTTCAGCATGGATATCGGTAGCCCAAATTTTGCAGGCCGACCATAGATATCAGATGTGCGTCGGTGCGGGCTCGAACCCCGGACCATGTGCATGGTCGGTGAGAGTCCTAACCACTGTGCCACCGACGCACAATCCTTGATATCCTTGATATCTGATTGACTACATAAATTCAGATGCCTATGACTAATGTGTCATCATCATGTAAGTGTATAGCCTGAATGAGAATTTACCGAAAAAACGTATCTGTTTGCCTAAATCTTGTTCTATAGTTATCATTATGAATATTTTTAAATTTTATTTATCATACACTATGTCTTCTTATCCAATTCACTGACAAGATTCGTGAGTCAGTTAGCAGAGATTTGATTGGTTACAGGATTTCATCATGACCTGACAGTGGGTGTGACCAGTAGGGTAGAGAAGGTTGTGTGTAAGGCCAAATACTCACTAGTGATAATATTGGCTAATGGCAGTCGAGCAATGTCGTGAATTATCAGAGGTTGGAATTCATGGACTGGCCATTGAATTGGCATATCCCAGTGGTTTAATAGTCTATGAGCCTGCTTGCCTTGTAACCAGAAAGTCCTTGGTTCGACCTGTGGCGTTGAGTGCGTACTGCTGAAAAGTCCAAAACTGAGGTAAATAGCTAGCTGTCCAGTACCGTCTGCCGGTTTTCTAATGGTTATCTAACTGATTTCAGCTCATGATGAAATCCTGTAACCAATCAAATCCCTCGCTGTAAATGAATTAGCTAAGAAGGCACACAGTTTATTTAATAAATATGATGAAAAATAAAAGTTATAACATTCTACAGTTAAAATTAAAAAAAAACACTTAAGCTGTTTACATCTTTCAAGATTATCATAAAATATGATGCACTTTTAAGGTAATCAAGTATTCAAGTGGAAATGCTGTCATAAAAAACAAATAATAAATAAATATAAGTGATATTTTTGTTCAAAAGAACTATTAGCATGTTACAGATCACATGGATTTGTGAATTAGGATCACGTTATTTTTCTTATTAAAAGAAAACCTGAAACTGTTTATTGAAAGTGATTTTTCTTAAGTGGATTTAAAATTTTACCAAGTAGTATCATGAAGATGTTTAGTTAAGAAATTATATGGTATTATTTTTTGAGCACATTGCTTGATTCGACATCTATGCAGAAAATACGGTTTAAATAACTCAATTTCCAGGAATTGTTTAGACTGGTTCATATTTCTCCCTGACTGTGTGTGTGTGTGGATTACAGAAATACATACACTGAGGAGTTTGTTAAATGACATCACACGCTAGACAGGTTCTAGAGTGTAATACGAAATACAAAATATAAGGACAATATGCGTGTGGGTCTGAAGATGACGTGGAGGCGGGCGATAAGTAGACTTTGTAACTTAATCAACGCATGCTTTGCTTTTCCTGATTCTAACATTTTCCTGGTGGCGTGTTTTTCCATCTGCGTCGTTTGTTACACTCCCTCTTAGGTTAAACAACAAGTTTCTTTCGGATTCTGTTCAACATAAATGTGAAGTTAGTCAGGCAGTCAGTGAGTGATTTCTTCTATACGGATCAGAAACTTGCACTGAGCACACGTCACGAAAAGCTTTTCGAACTGGTTACAGGAGACTGTAATCAGCAACTGCCCACCACGCTGTTTGGCTGGTTGGCTCTATACTGAAGACCTAATAGCCGGTCGGCCAACCAAAAAGAATTAGCAACAAGATACTGTGGCTAGCTGAGAACAAACCAACAGATGAGAGCCGATTGTTCGACAAATATTTGGGAGTAAATGGAGATGGACAGAATTAGCAAACGCCAATGCCATTCAATGACATCGCGTGCAGTGTCTGCCATCGCTCCAGTACAGTCCAAAAAAGAGAGTGACGAGTGAGTCGTTGGTGAAAGCGTGACATAGAAGAGACCGTGTGTCAAGGAGGAGGATGAGAAGGATGAGGTGAGAGGTTATGTGGAATCATGGACCCGGATGGAGAGGAGAACGGAGAACAGAAGAAAGTGTAGATGTGTACTTGAAGCGATATGTTTCACTCGGAATCTAAAGTAGTAATAATAATAATAATAATTTTGATTTCATGTTGTCAAAAGTTCAGTCATCTGCTGTGCATTCATAATTTTTGTTTACGTTTAAACCAATTTTGAAAATTATGGCTTCACCAAACAGATGAATTTCTGTTTTTAGCGATCATGTATTCATGAACTCATACAGCACTGTAAAATTCAGATTAATTACCATTGATTCCAAGGTTGATTTCATCACAGGATTATTGATGACTCAATTCAATGTTAACTCCCAGCTAGATTGTACTAAAATAAATAGCTTTCTATCGGAAGTCAGCAAATGGTCTGAGTCTAACGGTCTTAAACTGAATCCTTCTAAGTGTCAAACTGTTGATTTCAGCTTTCAGAGATGTAAAAGACAGTTAAAAGAAGTCGTCGATTCTCATGACAGTTGTAGGATTGACGACAATGATATAGGAATCAAATCAGAAATTAAGTATTTTGGACTCATTCTCTCTTCTCTCCTGGACTTCCCATGTCTTGGCGATCTCCAGTAAAATATTCCGTTTGACATTTTACATTAAGAAGTTAAGACAATCGGGTATAACTCAGGCCCTTCTCCTCTTACAGTTCATAAACTCTTGCATCCTACTACCGATTCTTCTTTATTGTTCACCCCTGCTTATTCTTTCCTGGTTTGCTTAAAAAGGACTATGTCACAATTCGTAGAATACTGAAGACTGTCAGTAGGGTGAGTGGTGTCCTAGGGGACCACATAGTTAACGTCGTTGTCGATAGGCACTTGACTTCATGCAATAAATTTGCTAGAGGGATTTTGTCTGACTTGGAGCATCCGCTTTACCCTCAGCTATCACCTTGCATCTCCTCACGTAGAACAAGAGGTAACTTCAGAAAACTGTATGCTCGCATGTCTAAGTATAAAAATTCTATGATACTATACTTGGCACGTATTTTATGTGATGAAAATAGTGTCAGGCAACAATTAACTAACTAACTTTTTTTCATCTAGTAAATAAACAATATCCTCCATCCATCCATCCATCCTTATATACCTTCAAGTTTTACTTTTATTATTTCTATTATATTTATGGTCCTGCTACTTCTTTGTTTTACTCGCATAATTGCGAACACCAACTTATCTCCATGACGGCTGTAATCTTTGTTTTTCCCTCACCATATCATGTAAAGAGAACATTATATTCAATATTTTTAAACATGTTAGGATTTCTATACCACATTGCCAATACTGTGTGACACAAGCCAACGGCAATTTTCACTTGTATTCTTATTATTATTACCCTAGCTGTTATCATTATTATTGCTATTTCCATTTTATATGCTGCATGTTTTTGACACCACCTCTATTGTAAATGTGCAAAATTTTCTGTGTGATTAATTTTATTTATAATTTGACGAAACTAGATGCAGTAATATTGTGATTAATGCTGAAAATTCCATTCTGTATCACAAGTACTGTTTCCGGAATAAAGTAAATCATCATTATCATTATTATGAACATGAACAAGAGCATATAGATCACAGACGGCAGACGCTATCAGAAGAGTACTCGATAAGCACAACATCAGATTTTTCTTCAAAACATCAGACACACTCGCTACAAAGCAACCTTGTCCATATAAAAGATCAAAATCCCCAAGGACTCTCAATCTAATTTTGTCTACAGAATAAAAGTGGAAAGTGATCTGATATACATCGGAAAAA